GTTTATTGGTAAACATAGGTTAGGTTTCTACTTGAGTCTGTTGGCAAATATTAGTCGGATTTATACTTGAGTTATCACCCCACTCCTAATTTTGGAGTGAGGTCTTACTTCTCAGCTAAGTATACAGTTCATGTATTCTTGGCTCTAATGGCAATGGAAAATCATATTGCAAAATTAAGAAAAAAGGTTTTTTAGATTTACGTCATTAGACAAACGAATCTTTCGGACAGCTATTATTATCACCAAGTGTTATTGTTACTGCTATCTTAAGTGCTTTATTAATGACAAGTATGCTTGAGATTTGTTTACCTGTGAAAGAGGTGTGTTGAAGATGGGGAGAGAAAGAGAAATGAAAAGAGAGAGAGAGAGAGAGAGAGAGAGAGGTCGATTAGTCAGGCTACGAGAGTGACCGAGAGGAAAGGTAATAGTTGGAAAGCGGGCGGAATATAAAAATAGTGAGTTTCGAGAGAGAAACTCGATGAAAGATGACTTTGTAGCTTTACGGGTAAAGTCTACGTGACTATTTTCAAGTGGACAAATTCGCTCACTTATCAGTTAGGTTGTTCAGAAAGTAATCTTATATTTTGGTACACGGAGTAAAAATTATGTTAAACGTTAACTGTTTTGTCACGAACAATCATCTAGCTTGTTAGCAACGAGAAAGGCCCACCATAAAACTGTTTTAACTCTTTATTGAAAGAAAGAAAAAAAATCCCCCGATATACTGCAACAAAAGAATTTTACTGAAGCAGTTTTTACCCAAATTTAATGGTTGATGCTGCCGCTGCTGCTGCTGCTGCAAAAAAAATCGTTTGCCAATTGGTGAGAGTAAATAGAAAAGCGTCATTTGTACAAAGATTTGTTTTAGTATTTTTATATAAGTTCATGGAACCGTGAATAGGTATTACTCATTAGATCCAATGTGCCCTTATATTAATGAGTATATGGAATATTAAATATCTATATATATTAATAAATATACATAGTACCCCACGTCAGCAGTACGACTCGGAGAGTTACCCACCGTAAAATATAAGATGCATCCTTCTTAAAGTATACTGATATCAGCGTTCCCTGCCGATTAAATTTTAAATTGAAAATGGAATTTTTAGTATATAATTATAATTTAAGTTTGAATCTAAATTTAAATTTAAATTCAGATTATACATCGATTATATATTTAATAATAGTAATAATTTATCCAACACCGTGAGGCCAAGAAATTTTAGTCAGATAACGGCCAGTTAATTTATACCTGATGATTGTATAGTGCATGAAACGATAGGCATCGAGTATTATATACATTTATCAATATATACTTAATAGCTCTGTTATCTTGCACTGAGAACTGTTTTATTTACAGCAATGATATATATATATATATATATATATATATATATATATATATATATATATATATATATATTTATATTTATATATATATATATATACATCATTTGGTGTAAATATGTATACATAAAGTTAATATTTTCATTCCATTTGGTTTACTGATCTGAGGATTTGAAGCTATGTTTTATATCAATCTCTTTCAGAATGTCTTTCTCAAATACGTGATGCACCCTGTGTATACACTGGAAAATAGTTTTAGTTTGTTCGGAAAAGGACATTCAATTTTTGAATAAGCTTTTTAATTTTCTTCTAATATATTATTATTTTAGTTGCACTATAATATATTATTCATTTTTAATGTTTAAAGTGTCCTCTTTGTTAATTTTATATAAGTCTCTTTCAGAATTTAACTTATTAACTTATTATTACATAAACTTCACCTTGAACATAAAAAAGAGAACTATTACTATTTTGCATGAGTTCAAATTTGGTCATAATGCTCCTGAATCTGATGCCAACGTTAATAGATCGTGGGATGAAGAATCCACTTTTGATCGGACGTTGCGGCACTAGTTTCTGAAATTTTCCAATGGGGATAAGAATTTTGAAGATCAAGGTGGCAGAGGATGTCCATCTGCAATTGACAATCAACATCTGAAAAGAAAAAAAAAAACTAGTCGAAGAACATACTTGTCAAAGAGTCAGAGAAATGTCTCAGATAAAGGGCGTCAACATTTCAATAGTATAGGACCATCTTAAGAGAATTGTCTAGGTGAAGAAACTTGATAAATTGGTTCCACATGAACACAGTGAAAGTCAAAGAGTTCGACTTTTTGAATTCTATTCGACGCTGCATCTGCGAAATTCGAATGGTCCATTTCTTGATCGAATAGAAATGTATAGTGAGAAATGGATCCTTTATGACAATCTTAAACGATCGTCCCAATGCCTTGATGATGACAGAAGACTCAAACACTCAAAGAACAAATTCCTCAACAGAAGATTATGGTGACTGCCAGGTAGTTCACCGTTGTTATGATCCATTCTTTCGGGAATCTAACCAGAGAATCATTGCCGAAGTTTACTGCCAGCAACTGGATGAAATGCATATTGGGTTAAGCAAAATGGATTGGCACTAGTTAATCGACGAGATTTAATTCTGCTTTATGACAATGCTCGGCCACACGTTGGCAGAATGACACTACAGAAGTTCACCGACTTGGGACACGAGACTTTGCTACATACATCATATTTCCCTGGTCTCTCGCCAACTGACGACCACTTTTTCAAGTATTCTGACTATATTTTTAAGCCAAAAGGCATTCCATTGAAAAGAAGATGCAGACAACTGCATTCAAAAAATTCTTGCTGTTCAAACCTTTACAGTTTTATCGCAAGGGCGTGACTAGCACTGTGACACGATGTCAGAAATGTACAAATGTTAAGGGTTGCACTTTTAAATAATTTAAAATCTGTTTAAATATATTAAATAAAGAATAAAAACTCATTCTAAAACCGGACATTACTTTCAGAACAGCCTAATATCTTGGCAAGAAATATTTATTTTTCAACAAAATCTCCTTCCTTGCAAATGCATTAAGTAATCCCATATGTCAAATATTATAAAAAGAAATAGTATATCAAATCAAAAATATGTTAATAATTAATGATTTTATTGTTCCAGGTGATATATATATATTTATATATATATATATATATATATATATATATATATATATATATATATATATATATATATATATATATATATATATATATATAAAAATAAAATAAAAAAGACGTTTTTATGTTTATACATTTTTTTATGGATACAAATATTTAAGTAAATGCTGTTTATAATAAACGGTATTAAACAACATTTACCAGCCTGAATGTCCAAGAAATTTTCATAGAAAATATTCGTCCTCTGACAGGAATTGAACCTGTATCCTATAAGGAACCATAACGGGCCTTTAACCGATTTGACCACAGAGGAGCGTTCGGTTAGCAAGGTCGATTTTACTGTCTTTAAACTACAATTTTCCATGATTTTCTCACGTATATTCTTATCTTCTCATGGCGTATCCAAATGTAAACAAATGACGTCATACATTATGAAATGGACAAAGTCCGACACTTATTTTAAGACAGTTTTATGTTTATACATTTTTTTTTTATAGATATACATATTTAAGTAAATGCTCTGTTTATAATAAGCAGCATTAAACAACATTTACCGGCCTGAATGTCAGAGAAATTTTCATAGAAAATATTCGTCCTCCGACAGGAATCGAACCTGTATCCTATACGAAACCGTCATATAGCCTGACGTGCCTTTAACCGATTTGGCAAGGTCGAGTTTACTGTCTTACATTTCGACATGTGGCCTGATGATTGCATCTAGCATGAAACAGTCTGTCACCTCTGAGTGCTGACTTTAATGCTCACTTTTATATTTACATACGCTCTCTCTCTGATATTGAGCACTTTAGCACTTTATCTCATAAATATAGCACACCGTAAAACTCTATTTCTTCTTATATATATATATATATATATATATATATATATATATGTGTGTGTGTGTGTGTGTGTGTAAAATTATAAATCAGAGTTGAATTAGACGAGGTAACAGCAGTATTAAAAAGTGCTCAATTTAACATGCAGATCTTTTAAATTTTAAAAGTTACGAGATCATCCGATTATGCCACCTTGATTTCAGCCTTTCGGTATATTCAGGCGATTCGGATTAAATAATTTCCTAACTCTTTATTATTTAAAAAGAAATAAACGCACCACGCCAAGCGTAATAGAATCGTTACTTTTCTGTCCGTTGCATTGCTTTTTCCGAGTAGAAGTTTAAGTCCATGGCTAAATATCAGAATTTTCAGCTAAAGGGCCTTTCAGCGCCTCCACATATATAGTGATTTACAAAGCGTAGCTTATATGTGGCACAAAACCGTAAGTATGGAGCACCCAGTGAGAATCGAGTTCATTACTAGGTCGTAATTGATCTCGTGAGACAAGATTGCTAACCATTGCACCACGTCGAAGCTATTCTCTCCCATGCGTTTCTAGCGAAACCCTCTATCGCCGCTTTCCATCTTTTATCATATCTACTTATAATGTACTTAATATTCACTGGGTATCATTTAATCAACCTCTTGCTCCACCTGTTATCATTTCTTTTTGACTTTCTCCATTTAAGTCCCTTGATTATATATATTTCCTCTCTTGTCAATATCTGTTGATTACTTTCTATCTCTTAGAATTAGCCTTAGTCCTGCTCTTTGCATTGATTATTACGTATTTCTAAATTTGTTTTCAAGTGATTTTATAAGTTTCCATCAGTCTAGGATATTGAATAAAAAATGTGATGGAAACATGAACAAGAAGAAAAAGAAAGTAAATTAAATCGTCTAGACTATATATCTAAGAGATACATTTTAAAAAGGAGTTAAATTAAAAAATTAAAATTGTGGGTGTCCTTTCTCCAACGTGCGCAGCCCAAATCAACGTAAACATCCCTTTTGTTCGGTGGATACCTGAAAGGCGAAACGCAACATTTGTCATAATTTCCCACTAAAATTATTGGAACTAATTAAACGCTTTTGCCAAAAGAATGAATTTCATTTTAAATCATCTTTCACATGCTTAAATCACGTTAGTTTTTATCAATCATTTCACAACAAGCAAGGTAGTAAAGCCACTAAGACGCAAGTGTGAAAGGAAATGAGTGTTAAAGAATATGAGCAAAAGAAAAAACATGATAAAAAGAGAGAGATAGAGAGAAAGAAGGAAAGAGAGAGAGAGAGAAAGAGAGAGATAAAGGGAGAGAGAGAGTGGGGACAATAAAAGAACAGGAATTAAGAAAAGAAAAAATAACGATTGAGATTGCATTTAATTTTTTGAAGATCAAAGTTGACTGGAAAGCCAGAAGAGAGCCCCACGCGAGAATTGCAAAGAAACTGTTAGCATAGAACTTACGGTTACATCTGGCCATTACAACTGTAAAATGGTGAGATCTAGCTTCGAATCGAGTATCACGCTGAAGTTCGTAAAGTCTAGGCGCCAAAGAGGAAATCTCATCAGAAGAAAAACCATAAAAATATAGAAGAGGCAAAGGGAAGCCTACGCCCAGAGCCGATAACATTGCAGAGTCAAGAAAGGCAGTAAAGCCACTAATACACAAGGGGTTACTGTGTGTGGAAGAATTCGGAACAGAAACAAGAGGAAAGATTAATCAGGAGGACAGTAGATAGTGATTGCTATTGCATTTATTTGCAGATTAAAGTTGGCTGGAATGCATGGAGCCGGAAGGGAATTCTAAAAGCAAGGCAGTAAAGCCACTAAGACACAAAGGGGTTACTAGGTGTCGAAGAATTAGGGAGAGAAGCGTTAATAATGAACAAGAGGAAAGAGTAATCAGGATGACAGACCAGATGTGACAGCAATATTCAAAGCAAAAACTGATTATAGGCTTATAAATCTGTAAGACAGATTCTAGAGAGAAAAATGTCTAACACGACAAAGTGGACCAACTTTCTTACCAGCAGACCTAGCAATGGATTCAATATAGTCTTTCTACTTCATGTCAGCCATGAATGTTAGCCTAAGCAGGCGAACAAGTCATTCTCCTGGAGATTAGCATCAGTCATGCAGATGGAATATAGAAAAGGGTCTCTCAGCTGAAGCAAATTTCACAGTTGATATTGTCAAAGAAACATTTACCATGACGTCATTGTTATAGCAAGAATCACCTTTTCTTGGCAGCAAAGAAATATTTAAAAAATGCCGTTTCCATCTGTTGCAAGTAATTAAATGTTATATTTCTTATATATTTCATGCTTAATTTCTTTATTATGAATCGAAAAGGGAAAGAATTTTAAAAATTGTTTGAAACATTGCGATAATCTTGAAAGTCTTCTTGATAAACTGGTTTGGAAAAGCTGGCAATGGAATTGTTGGATTGTTGAGTTTTGTGCTAAAAGACAAATGTTTGCTTCAGGGGAAAAGGAAAAAATGTAACTCACTTCGACAGTGAGTAACCCAAGGATTGACATATCCTAAAATCAACCAGCCGATATATTAATTGAATTTGTAAAATCTCGTAGAGCTGTTTCAAAACAAGTTATACAGTTTCATAATTCTGCACATTTTTTGCTGTTTTATGAGCAACAGGAATCTTGTATAACTTAAATTAGGTAGTTGAATGGTAAAGTGGAAAGATTTTACGCATAGAAATGACACTGATTTCTGAATTTTCAACATTAAATTTTCGTCGGGGTTATTGTAATATTTTACCTTTCTTAACAAATCTTCTGTTATTGCAATGTCGGACATTTAAAAAAATTGCGATAAAACAAAAGTGGGAGGAAATCAGCTAAATTATATGTATAGACCCGTCGGACATTGGAAATATTAATATTTGGCGTTCTTACATCTCCAACGCTTTCCCTTGGTCTATAATTGTTCTAGAGTAGTTTTCACAGTGGAGGCTTGTATTTCAATAAGTCGTCCTAAATTAGGTTCGACGTACAAAACGTTAGGAACTTGAAATAATTAGTTAATGACGCATCAATCTAGTTGTGATGGTTGGTACTTCAATGTCCGATATCGACTGACTCGCTCAACCCCACTGAACCGAACTGGCGACCGCTACTACTACTACTACTTATTATGTGTGGGAGAGTCTATTAATAATAGAATAGGTACGTCAGGTATAACAATAATCATAACCGACATTTACATTTATATCATCCCTTTTCACCTATATGTATATAATTCCATCAGTAAGAACGTTACTTTAGTCTGATGATGTCCTTTTAGAGGTTGAAACTCGTTATATAGAATTTAATTTTTTCAAGGATGTATGGATGATATTATAGATAGCGTCTCGGAATGAGAATTCAGAGATGCGAGTTCGAATTCCAGCCAGGAACGTTACATTCACTTACGTTGAAAATACCATTAGCAAAAGTATAAGCCAATATATTCTCCCTCTTGCTAGGGGTTGAATAGTAGGGAAGACTGAGATCTTTAGGCGTGGTCAGTAACCAGTCTAAACAAAGGAGAACACTTGATTCCAAACCGGTTGGTCGTGGGGCTAGCAGCTCTATCCCGTAAAATCATACTATCTGCTTTGGAAACCGAACAAGTCATGACGTTTCAAAACCGTTTTTTCAGTGGCCAACCTGTATTATTGTTATAGCATACCTACGGACGATAATGGGTATCTCCCCATTCACATAAATCCTGTATGTGGGTTTGCAGTTAGAGATTCGTATCTCGCTGTGGTGGTCATACTCTCTACCTCCGGGCAGAGAGAATCCCCAGACGAGGCTATGTCGAAGGGCAGAGTCTCGTCTCAGGAAACAGTTACCTGACCCCATTTTATACGGGGTCTACGGGGAATTTTTGACCGAGCCTACGGGCTCGGATACCCAACATTAAATTCGGATTTGTCCCACATCTGACCACGTTGGGCGGTTGGTAGATATTCTGCAGTCGGAGATTCGTCTTCAGCTGTGCTGGTCAAACTCTCTGCCTCCGAACAGAGGATCCCTAGACGAGGCTATGTTGAAGGGCAGAGTTTCGTCTCGGGAAACAGCTACTCGACGCCGTTTTATACGCGGTCTACGGGGAATTTTTGGCCGAGCCTATGGGTTCGGATACTCCACATGTGAGCATCTATCTGACAGCATGGGGCGGTTGGTAGATCTCCTGCATTTGGAGATTCATTGGGGAATTCACATGATTCACTTCTAGCTGCTGTTGTTCTATGTACCGCTGGCGAATCTTATATGTGTTGTTCTTGTCCTAAGTATTATCGTTCATTACCAACATTCGTGTGATTATTCTATTCAGTAATCTTCCCTAGGTTACTACAGTTATATAATATATATTTACCGTAAATTGGTAAAAAAAAATTATAGAATATATATTATTGCATATTGATAATTGTTTTTACCATGAAGTTCATTTTCTATAAGTTCCAAGAGCCACTCTAGGTAGAAGTCAGGTACTTACTGGAGCGGTACACGGAAGCGACCATATTTCCAACATGTTTAGGGATAAACCGATTTATCAGTACTTTTATAACAGATCAAAACTCACCCCCCCGAAAAAATGTGCACTGCTTCTAAAAATGTACAACGTCAGAACAATGCGATATGCAAACAACAAAATATATCATCCCATCAACGTCGATCGGACCCCGAACTACCACTAGTCACGATGAACACGAATGTCTCCTCGGGGAGACACCATGTCCTGAAAGACTATTGGGTCTCAAATTCACACCTGGTCTCAAGTAGAAGTCGTACATACAATCCATTGCAGGTAAAATAGTCGGCTCCCTGTAAATATCTGACTACTCATGCTATCCTCTACTGTTACAAGAGTCAGATCAGGGCAAAAATGGAGTATTGTTGTCATATTTGGGTGGAAGCTGCCCAGACCTTACTCTCCATCCTTGGCAGAGTCTAAAAGCGTCTCCAAGTCTTTGTGGGTGATGAATTATTCGTCACCCTCCAGCCTTTCCCCAACAGGCGGGATGTGGCGAGCCCCTGTTATTTCACTACTTCCACGGAAAGTGCTCGGACGAACTACATTACCTGTTCCTTTCACGGTAAGGACACGCTATGCCACTTACATAGAATCAAACCACCCACATTCCCTCCGTATTCTATCGGTGAGAAGGAAGTTTCACTCAAACAGCTTCTTCCCGTGAACCACTGTCCTGTGGAATCGAGTCCTAAGGGAATGTTTCTTCGATCATCACAATCTTAACCTGTTCATGTCTAGAGTTAACCATATCTTCCTCTACTATCCGCATAAATTGCCGCTTAACGTAACCTTCTACCTCGAATGACGCCCGGGCCTTGTACAGAGCGAATCTTAGAGATGGCTGGTAGGACTTAATATATAGTGATTTCAAAAGTGATAATCGGTATGTTTTTAAAGAAGTAATACTCTGCCGATTATTGTAGGCGGTTAGCTACTAAAATAATCGATCACAAAATGGTGTTGATTTATGCCATGAGAAATTCATTTCAGTTTACGGGAATACAGTGCGTAGCAAGACCTTCATAAATTCAGTATTTATGTCGAGAGACGTGAACAACGATGATTTTACTTTCATTTTTACATAAATCAATTTTTTTCTACCTTTTTTCTTTTTTCTGTTTCCTTTTTTTATTCTTTTTCTATTTTTCTTAAGTTTTTTGTTGGCTTTTTTTTTTAAATATTTTGTTGTCACTTTTTATTTTTTTTTACTCCCTCCATATTTATTTTTTCTTTTTTGTTATCTTTTCGTCTCCCTCTTATATTTTCTATATTTTCCTTCTTTCTTTTCCTTTTTTTTATTTCTTCTGTTCTCTTTCTGTTTCTTCTTTTCTTTTTTCTAATTTCTTTCATCCGTTTCCTTGTTCTTTTTCTCTTTCTTCCTCATTTTCTCACCGTTTTTCTTTCTTCTATTTTCTTCTCATTTTTCTCCGTCGCTCTCCTCTTTTTTCTGCTTCTTTTTTATTTTGTTCTTTATTTTATTTGTTTTTCGCTTTTTCTAACATATTTCTTTCTTTATATATATATATATATATATATATATATATATATATATATTTTATATTTTTTTTCCTTTTCTTCTTCCTTAGTTTTCTCCTCTTATTTGTTCGCCTTCCTTCTTTTGTCATTTTCATTACCTCTTCTTCACTTCATTTTAACTTTTCCTTTTCTTTTTCTCATTTTTCTTTCCTAATTTCATCATTATTTGCCAATTTATGGTTCTACTTTGACGCTTCTCTACTTTTTTCTTTCTTTTTACTTGCCTTTACTTCTTTTGATCCTTTTCTTTTTTTTAATCGGAATCACCCCAAGCAAGGCGATGAAGCCACTAAGACACAAGGGTTTACAGGGTATGGAATAATTAGGGACAGAAACATTAATAATGAGCGGGAAGAGGAAAGAGTAATCAGGAGAACAGTAGAGATCGATTGACATTGCCTTTAAACTTTTGCAGATTGATGTTAGCTGGAAAGCATGGAGACGGGAGTTCTACAAGCGAAAAGAGCGGGATAAGAAACTGCTAGCATAAAAATTACGGCTACATCGAGTCAGCTTAACTGTCAATTGAGAACTCGGCGACACTCTAGTGGCGAATCCGAGCCCGTAGGCTCGGGCAAAAATTCCCCGTAGACCCCGCATACAGGGGTCGGGTTTGTTTACCTGCCCAGACGAGACTCTGGAATAGCCTAGTCTGGGTTCGTCTCTGCCCGAAGGTAGAGAGTTCGACAAGTCAGCCGCGATCCAGGCAGCGACTGTCTGAATGTGGCAAGCTGGTATTTACCAACCTTCTCACAAGGCAGAATGTGGCTCAAGGCCGGTTTTTATCTGGGACGTAGGCTCGGGCCAAAATTTCTCGTAGACCCAGCTTAGACTACAGCCACAGACCCTACTCGTAGGCATAGCTTCGTCTGGGTTCCTCTCTGCCCAAAGGCAGGGAGTTCAACAAGTCATCCGCGAGCCAGGCAGCGGACTGCCTGACTATGGTGAGCTTCATTCGAACAATTACCATGAAAGTATTTATAGAAAAGACATGGAGAGGCAAATTTACGCCGGTGGAAAAATGACTGGAGCCGAGTCGCCAGATCAGGACCAATAAGATTGCAGATTCTTCTTTGGATCTTATCAAGGAGCTCCAGGTAAATAGCAGGGGCACCGGACCATATATGGCAGCAATATTCTAAGCATGGGTGAATGGTAGAATTATAGATATGTCAGATACATTCTGGAGAGAAAAATTGTCTCGGCCGACATAGTGACTTTCTTAGCAGCTGACCTCGCAATGGATTCAATATAGTCAGCAGAGAACGTGCATTTTCTTTCTCATTTTCATTGTTATCCTTTTTGTTCTTTTTCTTCTTCTTTGTTGCTTTCTTTCTCTTCCTCTCCTTTTCTTTCTCCTTAGTCTTTCTTTCTTTTTCATTTTTTTCCTCGCTTATCTTAATATCCTTCTTATTAATTTATTTTTATATATTTTTCTTTTCTCTTTTCTTTTCTACACTTGACTTGTTCTTTTTTTTATATTTTTTCTTCTCTCTCTTTACTTGTTTTTATTTTTACCTTTTTATTATTTTTCTAAATATTCCGGTAGTGTAACGGATATCGGCACCGAAAGTGCAATCGGAGAGGCCAGTTCAAATTCCGGTCTAATCTGTCCTCTTTATTTTTATCATCCTCATGTCATTGAGAAAGGCATGAAACAATATTTCCTATGGCAAGCTATGGGTTAAACACCACGGCAGACTGGACTCTCTCGGTTTAGGCGGCAACTTGTCTAAGAGAAGGAAAACACATAAATCCAGACATTAGAGAAAGCAATGCATATTATAATACATTTTAATTAAATGGTTATTTTTAGATATTTGTCTTTCTTTATTATACAGTAGAATCCCTCATATCCGAAATCCCGCATATCCGGAATCCCGCATATTCAGACATGATTTTGATGTGTATATTTGAACTATTTGTGTGATATTTAACTGATTTGAAATTTGTGTTTTTCAGGATATTTACTTTGGATAATTGCTTATGCTTATTTCACCCTAATGGCTTTGTATTAGTGCAAAGGGCGATGGGAATAAGAGGAAAGGATGATAACGAGACCACATCTGCAACAAGACAGCGATGAGATGCATGATTGTGATGAAACCTGGACTGAAATTGAAAAGGCTATTGAAAAGTTTGTCAGTTTTATGGAAAGAAAACCAGCATTCAGCTATGACAACTGTAATAACACACGCAGAGTCAAAAAGTGTCTTTCGTTTAAAAAAAATTTCAAGAACAAAAGCAAAACGAAAAAATGGAAAAAGTTGTGAATGACATTAGAAGAGAAAGAATCATCACAGCGATTAAAAAATCCACGTTACATTATTTGTTTTGCATACGTGGCATACTTAATTTAATGAATTTTCATTAACATTACATAATTTATTTCTTTTTTCTTAAAATCGATTCCGTTATAATGATTTTCCAAGCGTAGCTTGGATGTGGCACAAGGCCGATAGTAAGGGACACCCAGTGAGGATTGAACTGGATCTAACCAATGCCTTTATCCACTGGGCCATGTGTTCTTGAGGGGTTGGTTAGATCCAGTGACAAAGAGTGTGAGTTCAATACCCGGTTAAGGCAGTGGAGTACTTGATGAGGGGAATTAACAGTAGATAACTGATAACTGACATCCATGGCACATGGAACTAGAACAGTCTACCCCAGTGAGCGAAATAAAGGGTTAAGTTCGACATTCCAACCACCTGAAGAAGGCCGGAGCGTACAACGAGCGAAACGTTGTAATAAATATGGTGACAAAGATGAGGACAATAGTCTGAATAATGTAAATAATTTGCTATTTATTAGTTGCATGAAAAAGTTTACCGATTTTCATTTAATTAAAAAACACACTAGTTTTAAAACTCGGCATTTAGTTTCTAGTTTTCTATGTGTGGGTGAAAGTAGACCGTCACCATTTTTTTTTCAATTGATGTTCATGTTTCCCATAAATGGTAATATTTTATATGAAATATTAATTTTCAAACTTTCTAATACCAATGATATTTTGTGAACTTTGTTAAAAAAAGCAGTACACTAAATGACATTTCAAACTGAGAAGGATTCGTTGTTTCTTGCATTGAGTAAGTATCTTTGACACAGATACTTCAATGTAGAAAAATACGGTCGTAATAGCCGCAGCATCTCATATATATGCCAACAGAAAGCACTTCAGCTTTTTCTTCGTCTAAAAAGTCCCAATATAAGTAATTTTATTCTTTCAAATGTAGACATGGGGACTCTCTGGTCAATGGAAGGCGTATGTTTCCACAGTCAAGTTTTTGTTATTTTATTCCTGTGGAATAGATGTTTTATGAAATTTCATCCTATCATGCATTTTGCTTCCGTTTGCTATTGTTTTGTTGAAGCCATATCGACTAGTGTCCATTGATTGACTGGCTCATATGGGATATCTATTGATTATTGTGATATTATGTCACTGTGACACCAGTTATTGTTCGTTCCTGCTGAATTGGTGCATCACTGACAGACCTAAAGATTGAAATCATGGCCGCTAGCAACTCCTGTATAACCATCTGTTACGCTACCGTCTAGAAGGACATTATTGGTGTGTTTTTGGAGCCTTTTATATTCAAGGTTTGATGATTTTTATCATTTTGGTTATGATGGATGGATATGGAACGAACAATAACTGATACCGCAGTGACAAAATATTACAATGATCAACAGATATCCCCAATCAATAGACACCTGATAATAACCAGAGGGTACTTAGTCGAAACGTTTTGTCTCTAATAACATCTATCGATATAGATAGTTCGAAATAATACAAGAATATATGATGACAATAGTACATATATATCCCCTAGATCCCATCTGAAAGTCATTTCTGTAGATTAGTTTTCACAGTGGAGGCTTGTGTTTCAATAAGTCGTCCTAAATTAGGTTCGACGTACAAAACGTTAGGAACTTGAAAATAAGAGTTAATGACGCAGCAATCTAGTTGTGATGGTTGGTACTCAACACCACTGAGCCCAACTGTCGGCCGCTACTACTATTACTACTTATTATGTGTGGGAAAGTCTATTAATAATAGAATCGGTACGTAAGGTATAACAGTCATAAGTGGTGTGTGCATGGAGCTTTTTACATTCAATCCCATATCGATTAATGGATATCTGATGATGACTAGAGGCTACTTGGTCGAAACATGGTGTCGATAACAACATCTAAATCAACCAAATTCAGAACAATAGTTCGACATAATGCAAGAAATGAAATATTAAATTATGAAAAAGCGGTACGAACTCTCATCATAACTTAATGTCAAAAACCATCTGACATTGAATATAAAAGGCCCCCCCCCCAAAAAAAAACATACAACTAATCTCCTTCGGGACGGTGGTGCAGTGGATATAGGAATTGGTTATAGATGTGTTACTTGTACAGTGTGAACCTTACTGTTTAAAAACATGGAGAAAAACAGAGAAACTATGATAGTTTAGAATTATATTCCACGAATCGTGTGGAAGACACCAGCGTTCTTATTGGTGCTCTAGGCACCCTAGGCACTGTACTTCCGGAATGGTTAGAGAAGACTGATTGAGAAATCAAGATAGGACATTCACAGGGGACTGCGCGCCTTGCGACTGCTCGTTAACTTCCAAAAGTTCTCGAATCATAATAATCGACAAGTCATTGTTGAAGAAAGAATTATTTTCCACCCTCCAACCTCTGTCTAACAGGCAGGATATGCCGAGTCTCTTGCTGCTCTATCGCTACTACCGTAGGATGTGCCCGGACCGGTTACATTCCTCAGTTCCACTCAGTTCCACTCTCACAGCTAGAACTCGCCATGCCACTCACATACCAGCAAACCGCCCACATTCCCTCTGTATTTCTATGGTAAGTGATCGGACAAACTACAATCTTTGGTCCCCCCACCAGGTCTCACCTTCACGGCTAAGATCCGCCATACCATTTACATTTTAGCAAACTACCCTCATTCCATCAAAGAAAAGTAAGTTCCACTCGGACAGCCTCTTCCCGCATACCACTGCCTTGTGGAACAGACTGCTAAGAGGATGTTTCCCCGATCAATACAATCTTGGCCTGTTTAAGTCTAGAGTTAATCGATAGCTTCTTCCCGTGAATCATTGCCCTGTGAAACTCCCAAGAGGATGCTTTCCCGATCACTACAATCTTAACCTGTTCAAGTCTAGAGTTAATCGTTATCGTCCTCTCGTATCCATATTAACTAGCCCTTAATTGTAACCCTCTACCTTGTGTGGCTCCGTGATCTTGTGCAGGGTGAATCCTACTGTTAATAAAATGGAGAAAAACAGAAAAACTATGTTAGTTTAAAATGAGAAGTTTACAAATTATGTCCCACGAAGTGTGTGGGAGACATCACCGTTGTTATTGGTGCTCTGGCCACCTTAGGCAAAGTACTTCCGGAATAGTTAGAGAAGACTGATTGAGAAATCAAGATAGGACACTCACAGAGAACTGCACACCTTAGTACTGATCGCCTCACAATAATGGACATTGGAATTCACTTCCGGTCTCTTGATTCCATGTCAACTACAATTTTTCAAAGTTTAAATGCAATGTCAATCGCCATATTCTATCTTCTTGAAACAAACTTTTATTTTTCTTTCATCTCAATGAAGTTTTTTCATTATGCTTCACTCTCGTTATAAACCCTTGTGCCACACTAAGACAATCTTAATTAATCTCGAAGTGTCACCCTTTTTCGTTGGTGGCTTTAATGGCGCTATACTACTCAAAGAAAGACATGTCAGAATCAGGCTCTGAAGAATGTGTATCAGGGAAATAATGATCAGAGAAGATATTTATTTTTTCCGGCGTCCGGCAAAAGGGCCATCGAACTTTGCCAAATTTCTGGCTTTTGAATATCTCACATCAGAATCGGGCGGGAAAATTGAAGCTTTACTTTTATATTTATTTATTTTTTTGCATTATGATTTTTTTATGGAAATGAGTTTAATTTTAGGAAGTGGCACGATGCCATGAATTTGTTTTGTTGCTCCAAGTTTAATGTGGCAGGTTCGTTCGAAAATTTATTGCTTAGGGGATCAATATCAATAATGTCTTAAAACGCTGCCTCGAAAGAGGAAGATGGACGTTGCAAGGAGATACATAGCGAATTAGGAATTTTATTCATTCATACATGTGTACTTAACACACAAAAGAATGAAGTAGCAGTGGGTTGGGGATAGGAAAAAAGGCAAATTACCCAGAGAAATCGGTGGTAACATGATATATTGGTGTAAAAGAGCAGTTTGGTCTATTTGTAAAGAAAGAAATGAAAGAGAATTCATATACATATATATTCAATAAATACTTAGGGCGAATTCAATAAATATTAATAATTACACTTTACGAAAAAATGGTTACCAGGCAAATTACCAGAACTAACTAAAAAACAAGCAGTGCTCAATACCCTAGAGCAGAATAAAGAGAAAGGTCGCAAAGCAAC